AATCTGGTTGATGTTTGAAAGGCATGGTCAGACTGATGAGGCCAGAAACTTGCTCCAAGGAGCTCTTCAGCCAATGTACAGAGTGCTGTCTCAGAGGAAATCCACATTCAGGCTGTCGATGAGCACACCGCAGAGGTAAAGACACTGCTGGACTTCATTGTGAAGTTACAGGGATCTGAGGAGCATTTAGTGGTACTTAAACAATGTTCACATTTAATCATCATTACAAACAAACTCATAGTAAAGGTTCACCAAGGGCCTTAATTAGTAATAAAATTAACACTATCTTTTAACTATGCTGCAAATTATTGTATCTTTATCTTAAATGTATCAATTTCCTCAAAATAACTGTTTTTGCACCATGGTTTGCACATAGGGTGTACTCAACGGGAAGCCCTCTAAGTGGTCTCATAAGCTAACCTCCTCCCGAGTGACAGGAACAACTGTCCTGTTTGTCGATCTGAGAGGAGTGCTGCAGAGGACACCAACACAACTGAGCTTCACAGATGAAGTGCAGAGGTATGCCGGACCATGCAATGTGTTTGTGAGTGTCCTGCTCCTGCACTTACAAAATCTACTGTATAAACTGCATGCTGTTGCTACTCGTGTATAGATCAATGTATAATGGCTTGCTGTTCAGTAGTGCTATAGTAGTATACTTAAATTAACTGTTTTTTTTCACAGGCCATCATATATGCCCTGGCTGTCCTACGGAATTTCTCCTTGCAGGAGGCTGAGCAGGTCTTCCTTTCCGGTCCGATTATCATTACAGGTCAGAGTAGAATATGAATTATTTTTGCACAATGCCCAGTGCACCTTTTGTTACTGATATTTCTGTTAACCCAACAGTGATTGTTCTCTGATAACTATTTCAGTGAAGTGAAAGATTTTAATAGAAGGATTGACGGTAACACTTTCTATGAAGCCTGTATTTATAATACATTATAAGTTTATTCTTAAAGAATTACAAGAAATGAATAATGCATTATAAGAAACCTTATAATATGTTGCATTATCTTATAAAT